AATATGGGCCTGTTTTTTTCCAAAACAATTTTCATGTTGCTTTAATTTCCAATTACTTTTACCTGGAATTAAAAATTGATTATTTTTAAATTTGAAACCATTCGCAGCTTATTGTCCAATAGTTTATTAATATTTATAGAAACATGAAATTATTTTTGTGCTAAGAATTTTTTTAAGATAATTGGTTAAACCACATTTCCATTAAACTAATTTATGCTGAATGTGCTTCTGACGAATTGCACTTATTGCTTTTTTTATTTGATAAACCTCCTCTGTGATATTATGTGCCACCCTTACAGTGCTTGTTCATGAAAACGTCTACTGTGATATCACTATGAGAGAGTGGGGACTGTTATCCTTCTGTAATCAATTCCCAAATTAGCAGACAATGTGGTTTCATTTCTCAAACCCAGTGATGAAGAAACAAATAGCGTAATTAATTTTTTCCCCCAATGGACAGGAATTGTCATTTGTAAAAAAAAGTATACAAAGCAATTCTAATCAATACATGTCATTGTCTTTGAAAATCAAGAATATAACATAAAAATGCAAGGCAGGTTGGCTTTTAAAAAAATTTAGTCAACAAGAACAACGTAAGTAACTCAGAACTGCAACATCTATTTTTTATTTATTTATTTATTTATTTATTTATATTATACATCTTTCAAACATAGAATGCATTAACATACATACATTTCAACTCTAACATTACACATTTTAGTATATATTGATAATTACGTATGAATATTATGGTAGGGCTGAGAGGGGGGTGGGGTAATAGGGGGAGGGGGAGGGAAAGGGGGGGAAGGGGAGGGAGTGAAGGGTCTTGACTTGTGTCCCAATGGTTCGGTAATATTATAGGTGTTGAATAGATGGTATGAGAGATTAAAATTTTATTTGAACATCCTAATTTCTTTAACCTCCTTCATAACATTCATTCTACTAACATAAGAAAAAAATTTATTCATAACCTACATGTTAATTTTTTATCTCATATCTCTTCTGTATATAAACTATCCATCTTTCCCATATTTTAATATATCTTTCCTGATATTGATCTTTCAAATACGCGGAGATTTTTGCCATCTCCACCAGGTAACATCTATATGTGTTTATCCAGTGATTAGAGCTGAATAGCCTATTTATAGATGAGTATCACATAACTTTACATTTGTACTGCAGTGACCTTTTAGAGGTCTACTTGATAAGTCAGTTGTGAGTTAGTAGAAATCTAATTATTTGTGAGCATTTTTTCTGTGATCGTCAAAGCACATCCACTGTAAATCTCAAACATATTCTCAGGAGAGAATGCTGCATCAACTGTCCCTTCGCTGAGACTAGAGAAGCAATTATCTGGTCATAATCTGAAATATTTCATTGCCAATGTAATCTTGTTCTTCTCGACTCAAAACCTCCATAGTATTTGAATGGGCCTATTTCCGATCTTCACAGTATTTCAGAGATTCAACATAACTTTTATCCAACCATCTTTTCTCTTTATTTTGTAATACGAGGGCAACTCGGAAATAAATCTCTGTTTGGTTATCAATGACAGATACTCGGAGATACAGAACTTTTATTATATACATTAGAAAACTACAACATTACATTACTTTTTGACATAATCGCCATTCAAATTGAGGCACTTGTCATAACGTCTTACAAGTTTGAAATTCCTTAGTAGTAGTCACTTGGCGCCAAATCTGGGCTATAGAGGGGATGATCAAAAACATCCCAACAGAACTGCTTCAGAAGTTCTTGGGTGTGTCTAGCGGTGTGTGGGCCAACATTATCGTGAACCAACACCACACCGAAAGTGGTGCCATACAAAATCCCGCCAAATGTGAAGATGCCAAAGGAGTACTGCTTGTGAAGTTCATGGAGCGTGGTTCGACCATCAATTCAGAAGTCTACTGTGAAACATTATGAAAACTCAGCCGAGCCATCCATAACAAGCATCAGGGTATGCTGACTTTCAACGTGGTGTTGGTTCACAATAATGCTCACCTGCACACCGCTAGGCACACTCAAGAACTTCTTAAGCAGTTCCATTGAGATGTTTTTGATCACTACCCCCATAGCCCAGGTTTAGCACCAAGCGACTACTATTAAGGAATTTCAAACCTTGTAAGACGTTATGACAAGTGCCTCAATTTGAATGGCGATTATGTCGAAAAGTAATGTAATGTTGTAGTTTTCTAACGTGTATAATAAAAGTTCTGTATCTCTGAGTGTCTGTCATTGATAACCAAACGGAGGTTTATTTCCAAACTGCCCTCGTAATTCCCTGAGGTTTAACTATGTAGGTTAAGAAGTAACTACGGTACCTTGAAATGCTCATTATTGAGAGCATTTGAGGCCACACCAGATGCCACTAAATAAGTCAGTTTAATGCTCTGGAACGACTAAGAATTAGACGCATACATTTTGGAGGGTAGAGGCAAAATGAAACTACGTCGTAAGATGTAGCTAAATGCAGCATTTTTACATAGACATGGAGGCATATTGATCTAGCAGACATATATATAATAAAATTTACCATCATCTCACTTTGAAATATTTTCTGAAATATCTACTGTGACACTAGTCATTATTGATTTCTGTTGTATTCTATATTTTTCAGCTGGCAGAAAATCAAACTGTTAGTTTTCTTCCATCACATAGCTAAGAGGCATTTATTTTAAGTTGGCAGGAAGTGTTCACAATTGTTACAACCCACCTGCTCTAGGATGTTACATATGAAAAGCTAATGATCTGTAGACAATAAATAGTGCAGTAACCTACTAAGATCCTAATAGATTTTACAATTAGAGACGTTATAATTTCTCTTGTTTGTTGGTGTTCTGCAATCTGGCACATGCCTAAAAATTAATTAAAATCCTTACTAGTGCTATTGGGGCTTTCACTTCTTATTTTTTTACAAGCTGCATAAAATTCTTTTGTGAACAGAAACTCATAGTCTATAATATAGTGCAAAATGCTTTCATCCTTTATGATGTTAATTGAAAACTTGCTTATATCGTAAAGGATCAATGGATCAATGCTATTTCTAGTAAAGATATACAATGCATGTTTGAGCTCTTTAAAAACCAAGATATGCTAAACCACTATAGACAAAACAATACAGCCAATGTAATTGCAGCTGCACTTTTTAAAAATAATTGAAAAAAGGAAGATAGGTGATCCGTGACCAGGGGGGCGTTTTATCAGGTCCGCCTGATTCACCAGTTGCGGCCTTTTCTGGACCGGGACGCCTTGCGCACAGTCACTCATGCTCTCGTCACCTCTCGCCTGGACTACTGTAATGCTCTCTACATGGGGCTCCCTCTGAGGAGCACCCGGAGACTCCAACTGGTCCAGAATGCGGCCGCGCGGGCGGTGTT